TATTTTTATAACAATATGTTTCATTCTGCAATCATAAAATAATATCAAATAAAAACTCAGTAAATTAAATTTTTAGTCAATTTTCTGAAATTTAAAATAATTTACATAAATTAAGACAATATTTCGCACCAAATAACGTTTTTATAAGTTTCAGTAAACAATTTTACTTATATATAAGTAATTTCTCAATTGAGATATAAAATCGATATATCACTTTTGTCACACATTCTTTAATCACAATAATTCTATAATTATATATATAATATTTATTTCTTGATTTTTATGTTAATAAAATGATAATTCCAAATTGGCGAAAAAATTTGCAGATCGGAAGAAATGCAGAGAATTTTGGTGCAATTTTAGTATAAATGTTAAACCAACCTCTCATTATCATCTGCAAAATTCGAAATATCTGCGAACGAGATTGTTAAATGTGCTTAATTCCAATGGATATTCCACTGCATTGCTGAAACTTTGCGGATGGCTGTCCATGGGGCGCTTCCAACACACCTAGGCCGCATTAGCGGACGACCACGAAAGATCTATGGGCGCTTGTGGAATGTTTGAAAGTGAACGAGTTATGTACCACTTACGCGAAATAACGCCTGCACATAATCATAATGCAGGAGATTTATGGCATCTCGCCACGGACTCACGCTGCATTCACCTTTGACCTATCGTATAATCATGATACGATAAAGAATAAATCATAAGAAATTTTATTCGATCTAGAAAAATGCTCTCCGTATTTTTTCGACCTGTCAATAAAATAAAATATTTAAGATATTTAAATTAGACAAAATAAAATATTAAATTTTATTATCACGAAATGTATGATGCTTTCATATTTAATCATGATACCATAAATATATTTATAGTTGGCGTTTTGTTGATATCTAGTTATATATAATATTTCTTTTGTATTATTTATATATCTATAACATAAATAATACAATACGCATTAGTGGAATGCACATAATAACGTTAATAAATAAAGAGTTAAATAGGAAATTAAATGTTTGATTTTGTTCTTTATTGCGATTGAAAAGAAGGATACGGGATGTATGAAGAGAGAAAGGATAACATGTCATATTGACAAAACATGTGCGTCTCTTTTTCCTCTTTTTTATGAAACAATAGTATACAGATATCTATAGTAAATTACATTCGTAATAATTCGTGTTGACGTTCTTTACAGAAATATATAGATTGGTGAAGTCGTACCATTCTTTTGTTGTAATTTGGTCTCGCGTGATTCATCGCTAAAATTCTATTTAAACGCAAGTTACGCGAAGTGTAAGCTCGGTTGTAATATGCTGACCATCACGCGCCACATGTTCATGATTAAACATTTCAAATTATGTAGTTGAACAAATTGGACGCATTTTCATTTATTTGCTTTAAAATTAACCAGAAATCAGCAGTGACTGACAATGACAGCGTCGTTAACCACACAACATCGAATTTGCGTATCATAATTATATAATTTCAATCATATTAAACTAATTAATTTCACGATTATATTTTCAAGTGTTAATAAAATAACATCTTGTATAATTTTGGTGATCACTAGTCGTTTTCGTTCCATTAAAAGTCACCCTTCCGTTAACGCATTCTTACGCGTTGTACATCATCGAAATCCTTTGTAAGTCCACATGTAAGCTGCGAAACGATAGCAGCTTGTAACAATAGCGCACTATGACAACTTCGCTGTAAGTACAACTCTGCGCGGTCCCGATTTAAAGTTTAAATTATTCGTAATTCGCAACTCAACCTAGAACGCGGTGCAACTAAAATACGCACTTGTTAGCAATTTCCTAGATTAAACTTCTACTCCAGTTTTAAACGGCGCAAATGCGAGTCGGAGGAATTTAGAGTCGAATTGTACGGAGCGTTTAACAAGATGCAACACAATTCACAAGTACCTTCATTTCATAGTCTTGCCCGTTTTGTTCTTTCAACCTCGTTACGATCCGCAGTTCAATTTTACATAACGTGTCAACGGATGGCATGTCTATCGATCGGTGAGTAATTGCTACTCGATATCTTGCATTCAGATAGCAATCAAATATTTCAGACCATTGAGAAAAACGCAGCGACTGTCTTGTCCCGTTTCTCTCGCTCTTAATCAGAATTCTTCAAATTCTTCAAGTACGTGCTCAAGAAAGAGCAAAGCATTTACTTTGATAATGAACAATAAATGTACAATATAACTTTTATATTCTACAGTAAATTTGTAATATTTGTAATATATAAAACAATGTCTCAAATTAAGTAATATATTATTATTATATAATGTAAATAATTATTATTAAGTATTTTGTAAATATCGTTGAAAATTGTTAAAGTTTCTTTACTCCAAATATAATTTAACAATATTTCTTTCGTGTGGCTTCTGAAATATGAACATGAAATATTTTAATAACTGCGCCGCAGATTAAAATTTTAATAAAACAAGCTCTGCTTAAAATATTAATTAAAAATACAATTTTTTATTAATATGTAATTTTTCAAAATTGATATTTATACTTGGTTATATAACTTCAAAGTTTTATTTCCAATGTTGATATTTTTATCAAAGAAGAATAATTTTATTCTTTGTTAAGAAACATCGTTATGTAATTTTTTGACCGGGAACATAATTTGTAAAGATTGTATAAACTATGATCTGTAACAACGCAGTGATTCGTGATTCGAATGGAGCTGTTCTTCATCAAATAAAAGATAATGCAGTATATAGCTCTCAGTTTAACAGCTCAATTTCTTACGGTATTTGCAATTAAGATCCATGCTGGGCCATGAAAATTGTAATTGTCGCGCGAACATCTTGGTCGTTCGCGTCGGAATATCAAGCAGCCGAGTGCGCAAATTCCGTTCGTTTTGAACACGCGGTGAAACACTCTCGGCCATTCGTTGTCCTCTAGGCGGTATAACTGGTTTACGAGGTCTGTTTACAAACCGAGGCCACGAGATGCGCGCACGGAAGAAAATTTACGTCGCGCGTGAACTCCCGCTTTTTACGCCGCAGTCACCACGCGATCGTAAAGGCGACATCGTGTACCGGAGAAATATACACTTCAGGAGAAATTTACTCTGCCAAAGTCCGCGCCGTTATTTCAACCTCTCCCCAGCTGCTATTATTTAACATATTGCATTACGTTGTATCCTCATTTCTCCGCGAAGTTCGCGGCTGGTGCTTTTGAAATATCTTCCCTGTTCCTTTTATATTCCACGTAAAACACGTTATGCTGTTCTTAACAAATGCATGGCAGCTTTTTAGCTTGTTGCAATATTTTTGTTATACATCGACTCATGTTGAAAAAGCGAAAATAACCATTGGTTGCAAAACCCATCAATATCTCCGCTAACTGCTATAGCTACTTCGATGTTATAAAAAACAAATCGTAACTATTCAAGAATGTGCACGATGCAGTGCGGAAGTCCGAGGTAAAAATATTATTTAATGCGTACAAATTTGTGAAAAACTCGGCAAGTTTTGTGTGCTTCAGCGTGTGCTTACATTTTTAAAAAGAATTTCCTTTTTTTGTACATAAAATTGTGAATTTCGTCGAAATATATCTTCGATGGAAAAAATTAAATTCAAAATCTATTGCAGTTTTGTCACTATACTTGCTGATCGATAGAGACAATTGCGAATATATTATTTAACGTGACAGACAAAATGTAATTACTAAAAAAATATCTTTTAATCTTGTTTAAAAAGTAAAAAAGTACTTTATGAAACAATAACTCTGTGAAATTCAAAGCGAAAATATTTCAAATGTTACATCACCGTATCCGTTTGCAAGATATCTTCCATTTTTTACATTCGAGATAAATGATACGCGTATTTTTATGTTCTCATGCACGGCTTTAACCTCATTAGCCCGCTAGTTGGAAGAGCTGAAACAGCAACTGTTGGCGCAATTAGCTTGCCAATTTACAGAGAGACCATAAATCAAAGTCGCGATTAAGCATGTAAAGGTTAAATCACGACTAACGCACGCACCCAAAACGCTCGGAGATATAAAATTCATATAGCCTCATCAAAAGCGGAATTGGAAACTCGGACTTGGGAGAACGCTCTCCTTGCGAGAACGTATTCTGGAGAATTGAATAGCAAGGGAACCTCCAGACTCGCAGCTGCAATTCCCCTGGCGCTAGTCACGGATACATGAGCCCCGCAGCTGGGCTCTCTCGATTCTCGCTTGATGCTGCTATACATTACAAATGAATTCCAAAACACAGCAGCACTGATGTATCATCCGATTACAATCGCCGAGAACAGAGTGGTCTCATCGAAAATTAGCGATTGTTTATTTTGACTGATCAATCGGACAGAACAGAGCGCGGCTGATTTCGTTTCGAGCCTTTTGCCGCGGCAAGATTGTTGCGCTTGAAAATTAATTTGCACACTGCAAAGTGAAAAATACCAACTTGCGCCACCGTTTCCTGCCAATCACTCGCGCGCAATGCAAAACAAATATACGGCGGAAACGGATTATATGGGCGAAAAAAGTTCCGGCCGCAATCAGCAAACGATCGTACGCGAGAATGAAGTATAATTAGCAACAATAGCGCGTATTAAAGAGTCTCGATTCGGTGATTAAACCTGCAATTCTATCTGTAATTTACATTCGATGTGAGGACGCGCGTGTTTCGGGATATTTATACACTGTATTCACTTTGTCTCTAACGTATTTACACTTTATGTTTACTTTGACTCCCGACGACTCGAGAGACTTTCTGCACTGCGATCTGCTCGTTGGAATTAATTTACCGGATTGGCGAGGCCGCGGTTATCACTCGGTTCGTTGTAACGTGCCACCGCAACAGCGGAAAGTTCTCCGCCAAAACATGCGTCGAAAATTACGTAACTCACCGCTTGAGAGTTGAACGAAGGGATGTGCGGAATGCATCAGAATCATCGCCGACTTTTCATCTTCTCTGATTAATTACAAGTCGAAGCCGATGTTCATTAACAAAAAAAGAAAACGCTCTAAAAATCTCACGCCGTTTATTCCGACAAAAATTTCAAGTCTTAAAACACATATTTCGTAATACAACTGTTTTTTCAACAAAAAAGAGATTCGCTTGATTTTGAATAATAAACTTTAGCAAAATCCGAATTTTAATCGAAAGATTCCCGAGTTTGTTGCTGCAAAAAGTAGCGATAGTTCCGAAATACTTGGCAAAGTCAATCAGAGGCACGAGATGATCGGTGATTAATCCTCTTGTGCAGGGATTATCTCCTTTAATCGGTAAAAAAACCGTGATGTGAAAATATTTTTTGTCAAACACTAATAGCCGTTGCGGTGTAATCGATCGATCGATTTTCAGCAGCTTTCTAAAAATCTTGAACAACGAATAAGCGGAGAAACTTAGTCCGTAATCTCCTTATTGAAAGAGCTCGAGTCATTAGCGGGAAGTTTGCAGAGTCTTTAGACGACCTCAAACAAGGACTCGTACCAATTAAACCATTACGCGAAGTGGAGACAGTCGACTACATCCTGAGAACAGGTTAAAGACACGGGACTGAAAGTGCACAAGAGGATGAACGAACGATGCGACCGCGCGCGCGCGCGCACATCATTTGATCCGTCACGCGGACAGTCATCGCACAGCGGAAATCGTGATTTGTCATCGTACGAGAAATACATTCTCTTCGACGAGAAGAAACGCTCGCGGAGAATCGATTTCATTAGATCGCCCTCGAAATTCGCCCTTTTTCGAGAGGCACTCGCGCTGCACTTGTCGCCACTCGCGCTGACACACTCGCGGCGGTTCTCTGCAGCGTGTGACATCGCAGGGCAAACGATCCATTTAACGGGTCACCGAGAGAACGCACACCAGCACACCACTCGTTCGGAACGACCACTCTCGCGTTCCACCCGTCCGTCGTCCCGTCCCGCGTCTCGTTTCGTCAAATTTACACTGCGGTCACTCCATCGGCCCGTTATTACGCGTCAGGACGTCCGCGTCAGGACACGGGTATTTCGACGGCTTTTCCACTGTCGTGTACCTGTGACGTCACACAGAGACAATCCCTCCCTCTCCCTCCTCGAACGCAAAAGAGGAGCATTAACTCGTCCTTTCGCAGGGACACCGTAGGGGAATCAGCAGGACGAGGAGCAGCAGCGGCAGCACGAGGCCGCCGTGGGGCGTGCGACGCGGACCGGCCACGGATTTCGTGGGTGGATTTCGCGCCTGGTCGTTCATCACGTCGCTGGATATCGCCGCGCTGTTAGGCTCCGCCGAGGGACAGCTTATCGGCGCCGCGTTCATTGTGTCGCCGGCGCTGGTGCTGTTCGTGTCCCGCGAGCAACGGCTGGCGTGATGGGCCAGGCAGGCGGCGTAGGCGATTGCGTGCGGTATGTAGCTCTGGTCGATGCTGCCAGAGAACAGGACGTTCGCAAGGGGCCCGATGGCGAACACCGGCACATCCTCGCCCCCGTGCGTCGCCCACGCCCTCGGCACACCGGCCGTCTGCAATTACAGTCGTCACATGCGATTACTGCCCCTTTAAATGGAGAACGGAGGAGATTGTGCGGGATTTTTCCGGGTTTTGCGGAAGATCGTCGTCCGGAAGGTGGCTCGAAATCGATAAGACAATATAAATAGACGCTGCACAAAGATGAGTAACAGTTATAAATGGTTGACTAATATTAGAGCGTGAGGCAGAAACAGAATAATGATTTAAACGATCAAATAGTAAGTTAAAATAAAGCCTTTTTATATATAACTTAATAATTTTAAATCGCAATGCAACGAGACGACTAAAGTTAGATCGCGCGTGAGATGAAAATGGAATAATGAATTAAATAATCAACGAGTAGGTTAAATAAACCGTTTTTAATTTGACAATTCTAGATTATAATGCATGGAGTGTAGTCACGAATAGGATATAAAAGTAGACAAACTTCAAAGCAAGCGAAACACTCATTTACATATAAATGTGTAATTATATAAATAAGTGTTTCGCAATTATAACTTATAATAGACTGCATTTCTTTTTCGTATAAAATCTAATGTACCAAAGCATATAAAAGATTATATTAAATATTAATCAGCGTTAAAATAAATAAGAGTCTCCAAATTTACGCGTCTCTCGACATTTGACAATATTTCGCGAAACGACATCTTACAAAACATTCGTTAAGGATGTGATTTCTATAATATTTTAACGCGAACACTATGAGTCAAGATAAATGGCGGAAAAAATTTTGTCTTAACGTTGAAAAGGTGTTGAAGATCGTTTTATCCGAGAATATTACTCCGCAAATTGCCGGATAGTGGAGCATTATTTTTTAATGAATCGAGCCCGTTTAACTACGGCTATATAGAATATAGTAGTAATGAAACGACAGTATAACTTTTCATGGCGTTTTACATGTAAATTGAAACAAGTTATCTCTGTAGCGGAAAAATTGTCGCAAAAACGTATATACAGTATACGTGGTCTCTATATAGCTCCGTGCGGGTGAAAGAACACAACTTATTTTCTTAGAAAAATACGGTTATGTTTTTTTAAAAACATGTGAGAATATAAGCTTTTTTATGAGGGCAATTTAATTCTTCCGTGTGTAAACTACAAAAGTTTTATATGAATCGTATATAAGATCGATAAAGTTATATTTTATTATGCGCGGTTAGTAAACCGGAAAAATATGAAAACTTTTTTGACTAATTGTCCGTTTTTAAATAAAATTTTTCTTCCACGGAAAGAATTTCTGAAATTAAAATTATTGAGCGTTTTGAAAGAAGATGAAAGCTGCTCCAATAATAAGACAAATTGGGTGCCCTTTTTCGCACGAGACTTTCGGTTTACTGAATTTTTTTAAAAATTATAATTATACTTTTGTTTATTGCTTTCGCCTTACAGCGCTGGAACCAATAAAGCTCAAACACTGAAATAAATATTATTCTCTCGCGTCTCTCTCTCATCTCTTCTTTATTAAAGTCCGTCTTTTAAAATTGAACTACTTAGAAAACGACTCATTTTTAAATTAAAACGAGAATAAATTTAAAAGAATTGTTTCGGAAAAGTATCACCGCGAGTTCTAACTACGCTGTTGCAAGTTTCCTCTGCATTTTATTCCGCCCGCGGCTTTTGGTCCGCGGCTCAAATGAAGCGCGCTGCTGCAAAAAGGAAATTCTCTCACAATATTTCCTTCTCGTCGAGGCACCGTGCACCCTTTGCCACGATCTCGCCTCGACGATCAGATGAAAGGCCACGGCACGTCCCGAAGTGGTGCGGTCGACTCGTGAAGAAGTGGTTTTGTGCAATGAGGGTGGAACGAGGCTGGTAGGAGAGACAATGAGTACGGGGAATGCGACTCTAGTGGCGCTGATGGGGAAGTACTTATTTTTTATTTTTCTCTTTTGCTTATATCTCCCAAGCAAAACTTTCCTCGAGTTCGATATAAAAAAAACCAGCTAGATTTGAAATCAATCTGTGATGCATCCATAAGCGTCGCGAATAAAAAGCTTTAGATTTAGTTATTTTTCTTTTTACATCTAGTAATATGGACACAATTTTTCTACCTTTGTAAAAATGCAAAAATATATTTTTAGCAACGTTAGATGTTATCATAATTTGGACATATTTTAAATAATAGTTTAATATTGTTTAATTTTGTTTAATATTTTGCATTTAGCGTTCTTTTGTAGATGTTGAAATCTAGCTAAATTCAAGCAAGGCGGAAGCAAATTATTCATGCAAAAAGACTAAATATAATCAAAAGCAAAATATCAATAATTCCAGTAAGCACTCTTAGTCCTGATAAAAATGCAAAGGGGTGCACTACGTTCGCTGAATTTTTGAGAGAATAGAGCAAAGAATAAAGTTGTACTTTCTAAAATAAAAGCAAAGAAGTTATTTATATTAAGTACATTATAAATGGACATAAATTTTGCAACAATTAATAAATATAAAAATAGAAGTGCAATTTGATAAAAATTTTAAATAAAAAAATTTGAATATATCAAGTCTTGAAAGAATACTTTGCAATAAAATATTTGCGAAATAATATTATTAAAGCATAAGAATAGGCATATATCAACAAACTGTAATCCCGTGGAGATCAATAAATATATGTAAAACATAATGCTAAAATAATACTAGGGCGGTGAATAATCGTGCTTCATAAACAAATAAAGACTCCATTAATATTTGCCCAAAATTCTGCTAGTGTTTACAAATCCCCTCGAGAGAAATTCTATCAGCGGCAATGCATAAGACAATGTCCTTGCTAGGCGGGTTTGTTGGGGCTGGATGTAACTGGAAAATAACGTCTTAAAGGAATTATGGTCTGTCGAGAGAGCGTTAAATATCGTAAGTGGTTAGCGTTATCCACCATCAGTACACCCCGAGGTCCGTGTTCCTATTGGATAATCCGAAAGCTCGAAATATAGCGGAGCCAGATATTCTCGCACACTTTATTCCTGATAATAAAATCTACAAAATGGACACTAAGCACTCGAGCCGAGATAAACACGAGGATTAAATATAAAAACGATAATCATTAGATTTATTAAAGAAATCTTGAGCATACTACCTTTTACGTGTAATAATTTAAACATATTAATATAATAAAATACAATCATAATGAACGCTGTGTTTTTCGTTTGCTTATTTTGAATATATACTTTAAAATTTATTATGTCTTCTACAATGAAAAAATCAGAATAAAAAATTCATATCGTTGTAATTTTTAAAATGTAATTACAAATTTAATTATATGAACTATATCTGTTACGTATATGTTATCGATATTAATTGTCGTATTCCACACGGAAGAAGAGTAATGTTGCATCATTCGTTCAATTTATCGTATAACGAATAAATCTATTAATTTAATTCAATAACAGTATTAATGAAACAAATACCGTGCTGGAATGGACAAGATCAATTCAAGTTGATCGCTGTTAATAGAACATTATTTTTTTTTGCGTGTAGTAATCTAATCACTTATATAAATCGCGCAATAAAAGAATTTTTATTCAGAATTTTTATATTTTTCCACGTTAAAATTACATTTCAGGATCTTAAATTGCCGTAGCGCGTCTCATGTTCTTACCTTGCCTTCTCTTTCTTAAGATAAACCTTAAAGTAAAAATAAAAGAAAGAAAGCTCGGTAGTAAGCTTTACACAGGGCAAAACCTTCCGGTTGCGCCAACGAACGCAAAGGGGGTTGCTTTAAGATATCTAGAAGTAGCGGATATTTCATGCGGGGTGAATTGCGAGCACGGTGAAGTCGGCCGTGAAGAGTGGAACGGATTTGCACTACTTTGCGCTTTAAGAATGCAAGAGCGCATAATATACCGAGCAAAAAAAAAAAAGGAAAATAATGAGGCGCCGATGCGCGCACACGGACGAATTATCGAAGCTAAAATATTCTCATTAATTCACGTGCTGTAATGCGCGCGCAAGAGAAAATTGACGTCTAAATAGCTCGATATCAGCTTGGCAAGGTGTTTAATCTGTACGTCGGATATCTGGAGCATTAATTCTCGACGTATGATTGCAAACATTAATCACCAAGATGGATCATAACGCACTTCACCTACTTTTTATCGCTCCACGTTGGTACACATATAAAAATGCGCGAAAAGTTGTATCTTCGTAGAACATTTTTTTAAGATAAATATCATTTTTATCGCTTTTTCGCATCAATCTCTGGAACAGAATATCTCGAAATCAGCGCGGTGTGCATCAATTGTGCGAGATAAACAATTTTGATCGAAAATTAGGTCGCTGTTTACTTCGGCGTCATCGCAAACGCACGTTTACTGCACGTTTACACACTTCGTGCTACGGTCACGAGATTTGCTGCTAATACCGGCCTCGTAGATCCAGATTTACGCGCTTAATGCACACCTGACATACGCCGTGTACATTTTCGTAAAACGCAATCTCCCGCGCGTAAAATACGGCCGCTTCTTGCTGCGCGCGCGTTATCGATTTATGCGAATTTACCTTTATGTGATAGTTTGGGGAAATGCGGCAAACACGCGCGGGTCTACGAGGGCTACGCGATGCTATCGTAACAGTATTATACAATACTATCCTAAGCATCTCTCCAGCGCGAACCACGCACATCCACAGTAGCATTACGTGCATTCTAATAGATATAACGGCAGCGCTGGGAGTTTATATAGAAACTTATTTCCAGTCTAATTGCGCAAAAGGTAAAACAATTCGCAGGGGCACGGCTTACAATTAGAACTCGCCTAATAATCTTTAAATATAGATATGCGTTGTAATTTGTACAATTCTAATTATAATCCGCAACATTTCTCAAAAACCCTCGCGTTTTTATATGTAAAAAGAGATATTTTTCATGAGAAATAAATAGAATTCTTCAGTTTTAATAACTCGCTCGTTCGCGCGTTGCTTTATATTATATGCACTTCTGCATTCTTGAAGAAAAACAACTAAAATGTTTCTCGAGATTATTAATTTCCTTTTTACGCAAATATCGCTTGAATGCACGTTTTCTTATATTTATTATTATTATTATTATTATTACTACTACTATTATTATACTTTTATCGATATCTTATATTCGATAAAAATTTGCGAAAATGATATAAACTGTGATCAAGAGACATCGAATAATTAAAGTAGAAGAAATAAGCCATTTCAATTCCTGTTCGTAATTTCGATTTCCGTGAATAGAATTGTTTCTCTTGTACTAAAGGAAGCTGGACGCGAACAATGCAGTTAATTTAGGTACGTATACATACATGAAATCGGAATAAAATTTGAAGGATGTGTTTAGGGTCGCACATTGTGTGGTTCATGTATGCAAACATTCTCCACAATAACGATATATGTACAAGCCTACGTCAGAGCCTTTGTAATACCCTCGTTACGGCTGCCACCTCAATTTTGCATAAAATGACGAAATATCTCGTCCTCGCAACCGGCGACGATCGCGGACGATGAGCGGGAAAAGGCAAAGGCAGACGCAATTTATCGCCCCGATAGCCCGTCCAGATTTTAATCAGTTTTCTGCCCCGGCCACTTACCGCTTATGACGATTCACTCTGACGGAGCATTTCGAGAAATTGAATAATCATGCTCGAGAGTCACCGCCAGATGATACCTTTTATAACTTCAGAGCGAATTTTCTCAATGCATTCCGCGAGCGCCGCGCGACCGGCGGAGGAGATTGCGCGAATTGCTACTTTGTAATCTCGACGAGCTGGATTTTTAATATCGCGAATACGCGATAACGAGTCCGGCTGTACAAAGTATATGAGAAATGGCGCGTTTCGTACCGCGCTTACAGACACTTCGGCGAAAGTTAATGGGCAAAATGCTCCATTATCGTAACTTTTCGTTGAATATTAAATATCCCGACAATTTAAACTTCAATTAACATTGTTTCAGATTCTACTTAAAAATACGGCCACGTGGTGGTCTATCCGCGACGTGTCAATTTGCAATGTTAAATAGTTGTCTAATAAAATCTTCTCCGCTAAAAAGCGAGGATTTGTCGAGAGAAATTCCTGATGCATCTTGCGTGTTTCGTGTTTGCGTGTTAGTTTGCCTTCTATAACATTAATCTCGCGGCAAACGTGTTGCATTGTGTTTAAGGGTGGCGGCACCGTAATTATACGCGGCGTAACAGGATTTACACGTAAAATTTGTTGAAATCCACCCGCCGTATCAGAGACGAAATTACTGCACGCGTGTACGTGTTCGGCATGATAATGTAAAGCGGAGTACGAATGAAGCGCAGAATGATGCACCCCTCGTATTCCGCTATGTAACTCAGCGATGTCAGGTGATATCCGTAGTGTAAATATTCGGCGGGCGCGGATATCTCCACTCGATAGGCCATAAATACAAAAATAAAATGAAACTAGGCGATTGCGCGAGAAATCGTGAATATCTGTTGAAATATTTTTGTTTACAGATTAGTATAAATCTCCGTGTAAATACGTGGTGTGCAAAAGCCTATGGAGTGGGAATACGTTTGCGCGATGTAACGTAAATGCAATCGAAGGAATAAACAGAATAAACACTCATAAAACGACCGGGAAAAATTAAAATCAATAAATACGAATGCGGGTGGAATTTTGTTTCAGATAAAAAATATAAATAAACCAGTCGGCATACTAATTTATTAAACTTTTCGCAGCCAGCTAGAATATATGCGTCCCTCTTGCAATTTCACATTGGTAGAAATTATAAGAAGGAAAATTAATTTCACGAAAGAATTCAGTAATATCGCTATAATAAAAGGAATTCCTCTGAATTTATATATTCGTTATCTCTTCTACCAAATGTGCAGAATTATATTTCAATTTTTAATTATTAAAGTCAAATTCAATTAGTTCAAAACAGAATTATAATAATTAATCAAATTTCCCTTAAAATTATTTAATATATAAAATTATAGTATTGAAGAAATTTCCATTATTTTTATGATGTAAATTTTTGTACAAAAAGTTATCATATAAATTAAATCTGATTTATATAAAGATGCTTTTTTTAACTTGCCGGCGAAATTAAAAGCTTCCAGTGTCCATTGAACACGCGGCATTTTAGATACTCGAGAAAACACGGTTGTGGATAGGCAGTCGGAAGTGTGTTTGGTAGAATATTTCACGACGGAGCAGCGATGGGTACGTGATAGATTTTCGAGCGCAGCCTCGATTTCGCCACTCGATCATTCTCCGATCCAATAAACACTGGCGAACTGCCTTTCGCGCGTACGGAAATGAGAATGTGCCTCCCTTACCTGAGTGGAATCCTTCCCAGCCTCCCGCAGGATATTCCGCGGCTGCGTGTAACCCGGGCCGTTGCTGTACAGCAATGTTGTATAGGGCTGTCCATCAACGTCCGACACCTTGCTGTCGGAGCCTGCGAACAAAAAGAATCAATCCATTTGTCAGGAAAAGTATCGATAAACGTTTTATATATCAAGAGAGAACTTGAAATTTATCAGCGCGATTTGTCTCGGCGCGATTTGACTTACATCCCGCACTGATATCATCCGAATCGCTTCAATTCGCTGATAAAGAAAGTCAAATACATCATGTGCGTGCGCTAATTACACCAGCTGGTGCAGAATGATGGCCGAAAGGGTGAACGCCTTCGAACATTCGGGCATTTCCTGGACCACAATAGGAAACTTCATTCGCCAAGTTTTGCCGGGCGCAACACGGTTACTGTATTAGCATTGGCCGCAGTTCGAGTGGCCTTGCACGCGAAATGGGCGCGAACGCGCCAAGAACGAACGGATGCTTAATGGTTGAAAGGACGGGTGAAAAAAGAGGGGGCGGAGAAGAAGAAGATGTAGAGGCTATGAGGTACGAAGGGATGAGTGGAAAGACTCCGGGACATGCCCGCCGGTAAGATATGTTTTATTCAAGGGGCTTTTCTTCCTTCCGCGCGCACAGCCACCTTCAAAAATAGACCACCGCCGCGCCCGCTCGCCGTTTCAGCCTGTCCGTCCGTTTAACAATGTATAATTTAACCGTTTATTTGCCGTGCAAACGCGCGCGGCGGCGGTTCACTCTAATCGAGGCGGTCGCTGCCGTTTCTCTTTAGTCTCGTCCCGCATTTTACGCCCGATAGACCGAAACACTTTCTTGTTTCTTCGGAGTAATTGCACGCCGCCGTTTACACGTCATGACTCTTGACTGATGTGCATATACGCCCGCCGTTCCGTGTGCCGCGGTGCCTCCTTTATCGGTCGATTAGAAATAAGGAGTCCGGATGAAGGAAATCACTCGTAATGATCCGTCAATCTACTTGTTAATTTCATGCGAGTCTTCAATCGAACGTGGTAATTGTTACTGTTGCTACTTGCGATGGTCGTCCGATAAACAGGATAGTGCAAAAGTTGCCAGAAGTGTTCGTTTGAAAAAAAATATAGCAACAACTTTTCGCAACATTTACTTTCTTTCACGCTTTAATATTTGAAACATTTATCTCGACGCTTTGAAGATTCCCTCGCGATAAATTTCGTATCCAAAGCTCTCGCAAAATATTTCCAACCGTAGTCTTCAATTCCTTGTCATCCAGGAATTTTAAGCGACGGAGTGAAAATTCTACACGATAAAGCTCGATGGCACAAATCAAACTAGATGAAAGCTTGGCACGAAAAGCGAAACTGGGAAATTTTGCGGCACTCACTGTGTACAGTTCCGACCTCGTTCAGACTTCCGCTTATTCAGCGCATTTTAAGAGTTTCCCCAGCCTATTTAAGAGTTTTCTTTATCGGAAAAAATTTACAATAAGAAATTGAAGACTACACAGTTTTGCGAATACTTTGTAAACCGTTGACCGAAACTTATCGAAAAGAAACTTACTTTAAGCACATAAAACGCTGGATTAAATTTCTTAATTGTTATATGAAAAAGTAAAAGTTATTGCTGTATTTTTTCATATTTTTTTATAAATATCTCTGCGAAATTTTTATGTGTACCTTTTATCGAACATTGTTTGCCCTCTTATGTGTGTTGAATAAATATGTAATAAAATGTGGACGTGTCAAAAGACAAAAATAATTCGAATAAAATTTTATTGTAAATTGTTTGAAAAATCATATATATTTATTAACATGTTAGTGATACTGTTGTTAATATTATTTTCTTTAATACATATGATGTTATGTTTTTACAGTTTACACTATAAAAACATGTTTTCAATTTATTTCGATAAATAAAATTTAAAAGCAATATTATTTATTTTTAAAATAAATAAACATGAAGTGTATTGTTTGTTACGTAAATATGAAAAGTCGACAATGTAACTAGTGGTATAAAAAACTTCTGTAATATCTTTGAAAAGGATGCTGTAAATGTTAAGAAATATCAAATACCGTTTATGAAATTTCGCTGGCAATTTCGACGTCATTGAAAAACCGCCGTGCGGTCGAGCTTTAGCTATGCACTTGGAAAATAAAGACTGATCAAATCTAATTCACAATTAACAGAGAAAAATTGGGAGAAAAACAAAAAGCTCATTCATTCGTAAACATCTATTCCGAAAAATTATCACATTACCTAATGCAAAATCAATAAAATAATAGTCTTTTAAAATTGTAAATAGAAGCGACAATTGTGTTAATCAATTTTACAAAGGCTTGAAATTTTTAATTGCTTTCCGCCTCGGCATCAATCGAGTTAAATAGCTGATAAGGCCGTTGAGTCATGCGAGAAAAGAAAGGATGTCGGCCGTTACAGTAAACACGGCGCATTCCGTTTGCGTTAAGCACTTCTATGGGACGGGAGGGATGGCTTGTAACACTTTAATTGCCCATCTGTAACGTCCGACCTGACGTGTAACGCCGCCGTCAGAATAGCGAAATGCGCCGCTACTTCAGGCCGCCCGACAGCGTCCGGAACGAAATGAACCTTCGCGTTCCTTTCTGGTCGTGTTGGAACTCACGAATTACACGAGTAAACGGCGCGGGCGCGGCAGGGGGGGAGATGTAGGATCACGAAGTCGGCGAAGTAATATCCTGCAATCTGCCTCCAGGGACCCCGGCTAAGGTAAACTCGAGCCGCGGGATAAGTGGGACGTACGTGTGAGCGTGACTTCGAAAAGCCGACGATGTTGCTTTCGATACAGATAAGTTGGATGGCGAAGTTTTCGAGCCGTCGGATGTAAAACGATGTAAAGCGGCGATTGCGTAAACAGAAATGAGTATTTTCTGCGGAATCAAAAACGTGCGCGGCGAATCCAGCTCCGCGGAGTCGACTTTTATTTTTCACACGGGACTATTTGATGAAGCAATTTGCGGGGCGGAAATTACGGCGATAGCTGTGTTACATTTATGCAATACCGATGCAAACAGAAACCGCTGCGCGTTTTCGAATGAGCACACAAAGCGATACTAATAGACGCGATCCATCTAGCAAAACGTAGACAAGGAAGGTTACAATTGAAATGTAAAGTGGTAATTTGCAAATTATAACTCACCAAGTTTTCGTATAATGCACGAGGACGGTCGGAATAATCAACGCTGCGGCTAATGCAAGAGGGAAATGCGAGAGTAAGTCACTTAGCGATGTGAAGACGCGTACAAGCGGCGATCGCACTGTCCGAGCTAATGAAACTCGAAAGAAAGCTTTGGTGCTCGTTACACAGTCTCACTTCTAGTTTAGCAAACAGCGGCGAGACGCAACATGGCGCTGCTTGTTCCGCGCAGTAAGATATACATAGCTCTCTGGCCCACAGTCGTTTACATAGCAACTACTTCGTACTTTAGAACGTCGTGAATAATGTCCGATGCTTCATCGCCTCTTGCACGTTAGTTACGAAGTTACGGTAAGGTGAAATTAAGGAATTACGAAGGATCACGTTGCGGAATGCAACTCGCGCCGAGCGATAATGCTGCGTGCAAGCAATTAAGGTCCCCGCGTCATCGAAGAAACATCATGCACCGTGTCCACCGCGCCGCCTAACGATATTGAATCGTGGTTTTAGTACATGCCGTTATGGTAATGCCTTGTGCAATATAGTTGAGCCGATTATGCGGCGATATTGCGCCATTAAATATTAATTAGTGCCCTAAAGTATCGTGCATTACGGACTATTTCGAAAGGTTCGGCTGGAGACGGCTCACGCGAGCTGAATTGAACTGTCGATAATGGTAATTTAGTGCTTAGAGTGGCATTTGGTATGAACAAAGCTAATATTTCTGCTAACATTTGAGCCAATTTAACTCCAGATGAAAGCGTTAAAAGCGCAAACATATGTATGATAAATGATATTAGAATATATTAGACGTATTTATTAGAAATATAATAATGTAAATAATAAATCTTATAATAACAAGTTCGTGAGTCGCGAGTTACTTTAGTTTTCTTTTAAATAAGCATTTATGTCTGCTAATTAAAAAGTCTATAATGTTAGAAAAATAAATGTATATATTATGATAATAACATGTTTCGTAAAATAATAAATAAAGAGAGAATATCGCCTAGAAATTATGATGGATCAAACTAGTAACGTTTGCAACAAATTGCAAGTCGTTCCCAGTCCGATCGCGTCCGCAAAAAGAGTGCATTTTGTGTCCTTACGGCGAGTGGACAAACGCGAACGCGCCGTACATCAACCAAGCGGCCACATTTATAAAAGTGTCCGTAACGAATGTAGAAGAAATCGAGAGCTCGATAAGAATCCCAGACGAGTCTCTATCCATCTTGCGTTTCCGTGATCGCCTAACCAGCCAGCGATATCGCCGAGAGCCTCATATTCGCACATAAAAGAATTCTCATAGCCTCGACATAAAAGTCGAGGATCCGCCGTGTAATTTAACTTCCCGGAGGCGTGTGCACCTTCGTGAGCGGCCACTATCGCATAAGTTTCCAACTCCGTGATATGCTTTCGTGATCTTATATATTTCTGAGTTAATGGGTCGAGCCTCCCGTGGCGTGCCTCGTGATCCTCGTCGTCCTGGCACGATAGATCCGACAGGACATACCCGAACTGATTTACGAACATTTCCCGAATTCCAACGCGGAACTTCCTAAAATATCCGCGCGGCTAAAATATCCAATAATATTGTAATTTAATCAATTCCGATCATATCTAAGATTATTATTAGATTCATGTAATATGCAGAAACGAAAATTACATGTTATAGAATTAATTATTTCTCAACATAATTTATTACTTTTACAATAACAAAGCAAAAAGTGTTTATTTTAATCATTTTTACTTTCGTATAAATACGAATTTCAGTTTTGCTGTAAATCATTCAAATTGTGTTTGAGATTTTTCTTGATATCTTTTTTCATATATTTCTAATGTTTTAAGTCGATGGGAATAATCTTCTTTTCCTTCGCAATATTATCGATAAAAATAAGTCTTCGGTGTTGCTAAAATTTTTCTGACATTTCGAGATT